ACGGTGGGAGAACTGACTTGGGTGTTTTGTGTTTTATCTCAAATGTCGTTGTTAGCAAGAGTCGCCACCGACTTTTCTTTTATCCAAAAGGAAAGACTGAAAAGAACAGGAAAGACCTTTGAGATTATTTCTTGAGTTCGGGGGATAGATTATGAAAAGGGAAGGTGTTAGCACCATTTTCATCCATAGTTATCTACAGGCTCTTAGTTGCTTTCTAGATCACTTGCTTTTGTTTGAAAATGTGCTTTGTGTGGTTTTTGAAAGTATTTTGAAAAGGCGCCTTCGTTTAGGAAAACTTCGTAATGGTTCTCATTCGTAAGAACGTATACGAAGTGTTGAGCTTTTGAAAATATTTCATGTTTTGAAAAGGTTTTGAAAGCGTTGGTGTTTGTTTTGAAAATAAGCAAGAGTGTTTGATTTGAAAATGAGTAAGAAACTAGGAACAATCTACCTACTCAAAAGTCTTTGTTCATTTCTTCTTTTCCTTTGATATTGCTACCTTACCATTGATTTGGTAAGAAGCCTTATCTTTGGATGTAAAGGGACGGGCGTGGGTCATCGTATAACCATGATAGCAATGTTGTGAGATATCTTAGCATTTCTCTTTGAGGGACTAAGATCATTTTGAAGGCAATATTTATAGCGTCATCGAGGGACTATGATCTTGTATTTTTTATTTGCTTTTGCTAAGATACCCCACATGCATAACATAACCATTTTTATAAGGCAACAAAGTGGAATTACCCTAAGGATGCAAGTGTGCAAATGTGTTTGATTTACATGCATTGTTTATCTTGAATTAGAGTTTGCTACTTGTTGGTTTTAATCTTTCCATACAAAGCCTAATTACTAGCATTTATATAAAGCGATAAATTGCGGAAAGTAAAATTACTACGCTATTACATAATTAGGGGAGGGGGTATACAAATTTACAAATGGGGATTGCAAGAAAGTTAAACCTAATTAACTATTACAACCATATTGAATAATGTACAAGAATTGAATAAATAATATACAAATGCAAATGGAAAAAGAAATGATTTTTATTTGGTTTTTATGAAGGGTTTTAACCTAATTTCTAAAAGGGAAAAATAATTTATTAAAAATTAAAATTAAACCTAAATTTAAGAAAAGAAATTAAGTTAAAAGTATTTTTAGGTTTTTTGTGTGAAAGGTTTTAAGTTAATAATATGAAAATTAAATAATTAAAAGAAACCTAAATTTTCAGTTAATTTTAATTTAAAAGAAACATAAAATAATAATTAAACCTAAATCCAAATATTAATTATTAAAAAAAAGAAATTAATTTGTTTAAGAAAATGTTTTTAGTCTTTTTGTGTTATAAAGAAAAATAAAATATAAATGAACATTTTTTAAATATGTAAATAAATAAATAAAATATTTTAGGATTTTTTATTAATAATAATAATAACGATAATAATAGCAATAATAAAAAATATTAAAGAAAATAAAAATGAAATAAAATAAAATAAAAAGGAAAATGAAATGATAAAGAAAATAATTAGGCCAGGGGTGCAAAAGTAAACATGGGGTCAGAAGTCAGCAAAAAAGACAAAGTTCAATGATTTAGGGCCCAGACGCTGTTGTATGTAAAACAAAAAGAAGCAAAAAATATGGAAAAAAACAACAAAACGGACGATGGGGCTCGAACCTAGGTCCTAAAGGTGAAAGACGCGCGCTTCTACCACTAGGGTGGCTATACATCCGTTAACTTGTATTAAACCATAAATATATATTACAAATCAATTCCATGGCCTGAACTTCATCTTCAACCTCATGCCCAACCATACAACCTGTATCTTGCTCATTTCTTAATGAAAATTAAAATTGCAAACATGAAAGTTGTTCCATTTTTTCTCACGACTCCAACCATGTAAATAACTAAAGCTATAAATCAAAGATGAATGAGAATTTTGTTGGCCCTAATTTGAACCCTAAATTTTCCAGAAATTTCAATCTTAAAATTCTCTAAGCTCCAGCCATATAAATGAAATCTATGGTTATGTTCAGTTCCAAGGCAATGATATCTACGTTTTGTCTTTGAAAATACAAGCCTAACAATGCCTAAATAATGAGATGAAAAGTCAGAAAACTCACCTTGCAGCTGGAGATCGTGTTTTGAGTTAGAGTTTGATTCAAATTTTTGTGATGATCAGGTTAGCTTCCTCAAGTTCCCAAGAAGCTATTCCAATAATTACTTTGAGCTGGAAGTGTATGAATCGTGCTGAAGAAGTCCAAGTGCAAGCTTCTGATTTTGGTTATGGAGGATGAATAAAGTTGTGTTACAGAACTGTAACTGGTGTTAGGATGACTTATATTTTAGGTAAGGAAGCTTTTGAAATGGTTTTTCCAAGAAACGCACGAGTGAAATGGAAGTTTGATATATAAAGTCAGAATTTGCACAACAATGGTGTTTTGAGGCAATTTCTGGCTTGAGGGAATTTGAGGGAGTTTCAAGGCTTACAAAATCGTGTCTTAGCTCATAAATAGTGCCTATATTTATAAGCAACAAGTTTGGAGATTTGTCCTTGATCAGAATTCAAAATAACATGTTTGTGGCTTTTTGCTTGATTTTGAAGAAAGCTTGAGAAATGTGGCTCCAATGCACAAGTACCTGGCTCATAGGGTGGCTTAGAAGCTTTAAACATGTTGCTTATGAGCATACATGTTGTGTGTGTTCAGAACAACAAGTTATAAGCTCAAGAAGAGTGGACTTTGTGCATAAAGCCACTTTTCCAAAATGACAATGTTGCCTTTCTTCCTAAAATGGTATTAAGCATGGGCAATGCATTGAATGCTTAGATTAAAGCTTCTAGCAGCTGTGAAAAATATTAATTATGGAGTGAAAAACAAGTTTTAGGCCTTCAAAGCAAATATTATGTAGCCTAGCCTGGATTTGGTTCATATGTTCATCAAGAAATGACTTGTAATTCAAGAATGAAACCCTAACTTCTTGCCTTCGATTCTCCTTGCTCAAGTATAATCTCAATGAGTTCTTGGACATTTTGAAAATCTTGTAACATTCTTTACAACCTCTATGTTGGACATTTTTGAAGATTCATCTTGGAACTATGTGAAAAATTTCCATGAAGTTAGGTTAAAATCCTGCCTAAACTAGGGCAAAATTTCACTAAGTTTTTCAAGTTTCACGAACATGTCTTCTTAAAATCATAACTTGAAATCCATGCATTTATAGAAAAAGTTGTGTTCTACAATATTTTAGATATCATTGAGATCTACAACTTTCATGTTGTAAGTTTCCTTTGAATCATCTTGCATCATGATGAAAATTTGGCTCAAAGTTATGAAAAAAATGTGAATTTTCAACACTTAGAAAAATTTCTAAGTTTAGAAATTTTGACTTTTCAAAATGAAATCTTGACTTTTTGATTTCTTGATGAACATGTTTCATATTTTGACATGTCTTGATGAATTGTGATCTTTGATATTTGATTTTGACCAAAAAGTCAAAGTTCGACTTTTCAGTGTACAATTGACTTTTCATCAGTTGACTGGAATTCATCTATCAACCAATTGATCTTGAGAAATGTTTTGAGCTATGTCATTAGGTTAAAATGATGCATTTGAATCCTTGAGATCATGTATCAAACCAATCAATCATTTGCTAGGTCAAAAATCAGAAATTGCATCTTCTCAGTCAAAACCCTAATTTTGACCATTTTGCCCTTTTGATGATCTGATCAAATTTCTTGAGGAATTATGATCCAAACTTATCAAATGACAAATATGAGTTCATAATGTTGATATGGACAAAAAATTATGAAGTTTGACTGTAAATTGACCACAATTGACTTTTCCCCAATACAGTTGATTTTAGGTCAACTGATCAATTAACTGAGTAAAAATGTGATCCAAGACTTGAAACTTGACATGAGCAATCTTGAGAGTCCAAAATGGTCCATGAAAGTCATATGTGGCATTAAAAATTCATTTGTCCTTGTGCAAACTCAAACCATAATTTTCAGCTATCAGTGCTTGAGAAAGTGTCTTGAGCTGATCAATCCTTGTGCAGTCTTGAATCAAAGGAGGTCTTGTAAGAGATTATTTGATAAATGAGAGGACAAATTTTAGAATACAACAAAGATAATCAAATAAATATTTCTATTATATAAAAATAAGATGAACTCTTAAAATAGGACCGTTGACAAATTTTCCCTAGAATTTCTTTTACTTTATTATATTTAATAGATTTAATAGATTTGTTATTACAATTAAAAATTATCATATGACATGGCAAGTATATAATTAAACTAATCAATTTAAAACAACTAAGTTGGGTAAAATTTCCCCATTTTTATTGTTGGTTAAGGAAGTTGTCCCCCCAAAAAAATTTAATCACTTTTTGATTTAGTACGTGGTTTGCATTGATTGGGCTATGTGCTTACTATGTTACATTCATTAATTTTCTTTAACATCCACAATCTAAGTATAATAAAAAAAAGTGACCTAATTGTAACAATTCAATTGGTATTCTTTCATTCCAATTCCAATTCCAACACAAGACACATTTTGTTCGGTGCTTCGAAGACAAGATAACAATGTCGTTTTTAAGGTACGCTTCTTCCTTCTCCATTCCCAACTCGAGACCATACTCTCACCGTCTCCAACATTTTCACGATGACGTTGATGTTGTCAAAGCCAAACATTACTCTACTGTTGTTTCCCTTTCTCACCAAATGGAATTCACGGCATCCTCATGAATTCTCTCTCTCAATTGGGGTCATATTACTTTTGCTTTTTCTGTATTGGCAAAGATTCTCAAGAGGGGTTATCACCCAAATCTCATAACCTTCAATACACTCATCAAGGGTTTTTGTCTCAGAGCATTGCAATTTCACGACAAGCTGCTAGCATAGGGATTTCAGTTGGACCAAGTTACTTATGGGACATTGATCAATGGCTTATGCAAAGCCGGACAAACAACAGCAGCACTACAATTGTTGAGACGAGTTGGTGGAATGTTGGTCCGGCCTAGTGTTGTAATGTACAATACAATCATTCATGGTATGTGCAAAGATAAACTTGTTAATGATGCATCTGATTTATATTCTGAAATGCTTGCTAGGAGAATCTTTCCTGATGTTTTCACTTATAATGCACTAATCTATGGCTTTTGCATTGTTGGTAAATTGAAAGACGCAATTGATTTGTTTAATAAAATGATACTGGAAAACATCAGCCCGGTTGTGTATACTTTTAATATATTGGTTGATGCTTTTTGTAAGGAAGGAAACATGAAAGAAGCGCAAAATGTGTTAGCTATGATGATTGAAAATGACATTAAACTTGGTGTTGTTACCTATAATTCGTTAATGGATGGATATTGTCTTGTAAATGAAATGAACAAGGCAAAAGATATATTCAAGACTATGGTTCAAAGGAGAGTAACTCCTAATGTTTTGACCTACAATATCATGATTAACGGATTCTGTAAGATTAAAAAGGCTGACGAAGCTATAAGTCTCTTTAAAGAAATGCACTGTAGAAAAATCATTCCTGATACGATAACTTATAGTTCCCTTATTGATGCCTTGTGCAAATCGGGAAGAATCTCATATGCTTTGGAGCTTGTCGATGAGATGTGTGATAGAGGTCAACTACCTGATATAATTACGTACAATTCTATATTGGATGCTTTATGCAATCACCACCAAGTTGATAAGGCAATCGCATTGTTAACAAAGTTTAAAAGCGAGGGTATTCAACCAAATATGTATACATACACTGTTCTTATCAAGGGACTGTGCCAAAGTGGAAGACTAGTGGATGCGCGAAACATTTTTTGAAGATCTTTTGCTCAAAGGCTATAATATAAATGTCTATACATATACCGTTATGATCCAAGGGTTTTGTGACAAGGGCTTCTTTGATGAAGCGATGGCCTTGCTGTCAAAAATGAAAGACAATGGTTGCCTTCCAAACAGTATAACTTATGAAATAGTTATTTCTTCTCTATTTGAAAATAATGAAAATTATAAGGCAGAGAAACTTCTTTGTGAAATGTTTGCAAGAGGTCTAGTGGAAGACCGAAAATAGGTAAGATGCATTTCTATATATACATTATCATTTTGAATTTATGTTTCAACATTATTTCATCTTTTCATTAATGTAGTTGCTTGAGCTAATGGAAAAAAGATATCTGTTTTTGTTGTTTGTACTTCACAAAATGATAGATTGGTGAGTTTCAAATTTGAAGAAAATTGGTAAAATATTATAATTACATTGTTGTCTTAGAAGTGTTGGTCTCCATTTGTACTGAATTACTAATTGTATTATACCTCTAACCAATACTTTTTGCAATAGCAAATAGCTCGATGCTTTATATGATAAAAAACTCATTTCAATGCTCATTGAGTTTGAGACTAAGAGGATGAATTTGTTAGTCGTGTGGTAACCCATACACAATGTATTAGAGCCTTAAAATATGGAAACGATATTCTAGAAAGAAGATATGAATGAGCTGACAGTAGTAGTTAGTTATAGAGAATGATAGAATTAATAGGTGATGATTGTTAGAAAGAGAAGGCAGGGATAAGTTTGTTAAGTAGTTGGGCAGGGTCGCAGGGATATCTTCCCACATGTTCTGGTTTAGGACTATCTATTCAATTGTAGTCTTAGTGTTTCTGAATGTTAGTTAAACTTGAGGCTGAATTGCTAAGATCTTAATTGCACACAACAGGTATAAGCTTGAAGCTTAAGTGAAGTATGCTAAGAATGACTTAATGTGTTCTTGTGGCTAAATTAAACTACTGTGTTTGAATTACCAAGGTTGCATTACAGGTGCATAGTCTACTGAAATATACGTTGAAAAAAAGTATTGAGAACTGTCGTCAAATTGTTTAGTCACTAACAAGGCTTAGAGTTTAGAACTTAAATGCTTTGCAGGGAACATGATTCTATTTTCTACAGAATTATTGGTTTAGCCGTTTTCGATGAGAGTTTATCTTCAAATTTTGGTTTAAATTGTTTATAGAACTTGTATAAACTTGGATATCATTATAAAGTTCTATAAGGCTTTATGATGAATTTATTCCCCAAAAGTGAACTCTAATGCTATTAGTAAATGTGGTGTTAAATCACAGACTCTGATTCATATCATGAATTCATTCATTGTGAAAGATTGAAGAGCTTAAAAAATGGAAATTTAATCCACTTTTGTTAAAAGCAGAGAAGTGAACCAAAATAACAGGAATGATATAGAAACAAACAACTGAATGGTTGATGTCACTATGTCAGAGTTGTCTAAGTCTCTAAGATGGTTTCTGTTTCAGGCAAACCAATCCATATTAGGAGCATACATGTTGGAAGCACTTGTTGCGAGATTTTTTGTAACATTACCCTCTATGTGTGGCAGATTTTTGTAGTTCAAAGAGAAAGTTAAAGGTCATGCTAGAAGCATTTCTCGAAGATAATTGAAAGTGTATAACTGTTGATATATATAGGTGCACAACTTGGTTATAACTTCGTGGCTTATTTGTGAAATATAGAGCCCTCAAGATCAAGGGTTATTTGGACATAAAAAAAGTGCACATAACCATCCTTCATTTTAAGTTTGAATGTTACTGCTAAGTCCTAAACTCCCTCAAGTACTGTTACCATCTCTTGTATGTTTTGTGTTGTTAACTTTAGTTTAATGTCTAAGTTCATAGCCCCTATTATAAAATTGAGACTAACAAAAAGAGGTGATACTACGCTAAGGCTTTTTACAAAAGGCGATTTGATATTGCATTCTATAGAATAGCTTGTACTATGAGATTGTGTTTATGCATATAGAACCACATTAAGTAGGCTAAGGTTGATGTGCTTTTTTAATACATTACTTCCATGTAATAGTTTAACATTTTACTTTTCCCACTTGTTGCAGATAAAGTCATTTTCTTTAGCTCTCTATGATGCTATATGTCTTTTGCTTTTCCTCCTGGAACATTCCCAACTTGCCCTTTGATGGATATTAATAGGACTAGAAGTAAAGTCATTAGAGGTAATAAATATTTTGAATCTTGAAGGTTTCAAATATTGTAGTAACAAAACATTCTGTATTGTTGATTGCGCCTCTCAATTTGATGCTTGTGAACTGAATAACCGGGAAACAAAAGTTTTAAAGGCATATCATATTGAGACCTGTTGACCTAAACGTATAGATTAAAATGGAAACCTTATTCGAAATATAACTTATTCATTTGTTTCTGCATTTTCTACGAACAAATAAAATTTCAATTGATTTCTCCTTCGTTCCGTGGAACCTAGTATGTTGCCAATGCATTTCTGATATTACTGACTTCTGTTGTTTACCTTCTTTTCTGTCGCAATATATTGAGAACTTAGTTGAGAGTCAAGATATACATCTTACAAGCATGTGAATCTAATTCTGCTGATATGCTTCCCGAAACTGATGATTGCGTTGAATGCTGCAAAATTCAATTAAATAGTCAAAAACTCAACATTCTAGACATATTTATTCTTTAATGCTCTGCATTCCGGGCATTGTAAAAAACAAATTAAGTCAAACTATATCCCTCACCATCCATAAATCTCTTGCATCAACTGAAGTTCCTGGTTTCAGACCTAGATCAGACCAAGATGCAGTTACTGTTGCTTTCGATGAACTCCTATTCCACAGTACGACTGCTAGCTTGTTATCACTGAGAGGACCTGCCCAAATCTGCACATTTTCTTGTTTATCTCATAGGATTTGTTTCTAATATTGGTTATTTTTCTTGGTGCCTGTATGTATCATAGTTTTGCAGTTACATGAAAACACGAAGAAGTATTACCTCCAAATCACCATTACTTTTCACCTTCTTCCCTTGAACTCCTAGTTTGTCTGCAAAACCGCAAGGTTATTAGTATTAAAAGCATTGACTGTTAAGAGATATTTGAGGATGTTTAGTTTGTTCCTGCCTTGATTTACTGCAATAACTTCCGAGTTGCTTAGCAATTCCTTTGTCAAGTCATCTAGCGCTCGAATGTCACAACCGATCAATAAAGGAGCCTATATATGCAAGAGTAGAGGAGTTATTATACAAAGTACATTTCATTTAGAGAACATTACTGTGAATATAGTTATCTAAACCACAAGTATTAAATTTTTTTGTTTTGGTTTCAACTTACCTTAGCTAATGCCCATATGCTGAAATGGGCACGATATTCTTCGGTTGTCATACCTCCATTTCCAACTTCAAGCATGTCAGGATCTGTCCCCCCACAAAACAGAATCTGAGCTTTAATTTTTTTCATTATGAGATAAGTAAATAGGAATTATACGTAGACATGTTAAGTTATTTTACTTATTTTGATGAAAGAATTGGTTATTTTAGTACTTGAAGAGTGATATCATGATAAACATGTCCTAGAGAAGTAGTATATGTTTGAATTATTACCATTCCATCCTCCAGGTCCAGCGTAAGAAGCCCATTTGTCATTTAAATCTGCGCGAGATATCATACTAAGGAGAAAATGAAGAAATGAAAGAGGTCAAGTGTTCAATAGCCCAGATTCTAAATTGAGTACCAGGTAATGAAACTCCTCTATTTAGATTCATGTTATATTAACATATAATATCATTGAGATGCTCACCTATCCCATTTATCTTTAATATCTCCGGTTGTTCTCCAACTATTTCCCACACTTTTTGCCCATGTTGCCGGGTCTTCAGATCCCCTATGTTTGAGATTGCAGTTAATTATGAAAACTCTTGCATTTTACGTAAATATAGCAAATGAAATGCTAACTTTACTTGCTTCTAGGGTTATAAATACTCCTTAAAGAACAAGTAAAGTTTATCAGAAAAGATAACCAATATGACTCACCATTCACACAAAGAGAAGAAGATTGGTCTTCCAGATTTCAACAAAGCTTCACTCATCGCCGGGTACCTGTTCTTATAAAATACATAAATTATAGATTTTAGAAGCATTTTTGTCGGTCTGTTTATACATTTGAAAGCCAGAATTATATACCTTTCTTTGGGGTCTATATTATTATTCTCACAATTATCATACTTCAAGTAATCAATTCCCTACAGTATCAATGGAAATTGATGTTAATCGAATTCATATAGTATATAAGTGTGTACATAAATGCAAAATGGTTTTTGAGTGAACTTCATATTACCCAGGAAGCAAATGTTTTTGCATCTTGCACTTCATGCCCTAGTGATCCAGGCATTTTTTTACTGCAAGTTTGATTTCTGCAGAGAAATTGTGATATAGGTAAAAATGGTTGACAAATCATAGTTATAGTTTAAAATGTGAGAAATACCATACCCTGCATCTGAATAGATCCCTAATTTGAGACCTTTGCTATGTACATAATCAGCTAGAGCCTTAATTCCTGAAGGGAATGTTGATGATTTTGCAACCAAATTACCCTGCCATCATTTTCAAAATTTTCAAGTGTAATTATCATAGAAACTGGTTATTGTACTGTCTGTTTCTTAGAATTTAATTAACAACTAGGATCTTTTGACTTGCTCCAGAGATGTCAATTCAATGGTAAAAGTTTGAGATGTGTCATTGTTTATAAATTCTAATAAGCTCGTACTCTTATATATATTTTTTAATATATTTTTGGTCCTGTATGTTAATCTCATTATTTATTTTGGTCTTTTTAATTCGAAAGTATCTATATTGATCTCTTTAGATCTTTTCATCAAATTAGCGACAAAAAAACTAAAAAATTGGTCGCTACATTCATCATTAATTAGACGAAAATAGTTAACATGATACATTTTTAATAATTAATTTTAAAAACATTTTAATAAAAATTTATTTAATATCATTTGATTGAATGTGTATGTAAAAAAATATTTTACATTGTCATGAATATTAATCTCTTTTAATTATGCAATGATTTATGAGCAGAATGTTTACTACATATTAAGTTCACCACAACAATCATCTAAAAGTTAAGTTGATTAATTTCTTTAATATACCAAAATTTAATAATAATAAAACATTAATTTTACCTTTGAGTCTCGATTAAGTTCACCCCAACAATCATCTAAAAGTTAAGGAAAAAAAAACATCAATACTACATATTTATAAAACATGAACTTCTTTTATATAAAAGAATAAATAAAAAGAATAATATTAGCAACACAATATAAAATTTTAATTAATAAAAAGTATATATTTAAAAATGTGTATTAAAGAATGTGTAGCTATCATTCTTCTAAATAAAAATATAAAATTGATAATGATAAGAACAATAGTTATAGAAACAATGTAAAATGTTGTCCTACCAATATTGATATATTTGTAACCTAGATCAACAAGGCCGGTTGACACCATAGCATTAGCTGTATAATGAAAGTATATATTAAATTAAATTAAATAAGTCTACAATTTTAAAACATACTTTACGAAGTACTAATAGTTACTTACCTGTTTCTTTGATTAAGTCTTCACTAACATCACATTGAAAATGGTTCCAACTATTCCATCTGATTTATTACATTAGTAATTAGTCTTTCATATTTTGCAATAAATGTACAACTAAATTTAAGGGCAGAAATATATTAAGTTAGACTAAATTTTATAAGGTCAGAGTGTGATCTACAATAAATTTATAAGATTTGAGTCTGATTTATGATCTATTATAATTTTTTTTTTTAATTTGACTTAAATTTTTTTAAAAGTCTAATCTAACTTGAAAGTCTATATAAAAGTTTATTTCTTAATAAGATTTTCAATAAATTCATACTAGAAGTCTTATAGGTCGACCTATATATATATATATATATATATATATATATATATATATATATATATATATATATATATATATATATATATATATATATATATATATATATATATATATATCAATCTATTTCGCTTATTTAACCTATTTTTAATATATATAAAAATATAGACCGATCTATAAAATTTTATAGATTTTTTTAATAGTCTAAATCTAACTTTTTTTAATAAATAAGTTTAGTTTAATCTAACCTCAAATAGACTAGATCATAGACCGACTTGACTTATTCTTCATCCTAACTAAATCAAGTGTATTATTTCTAGAAAAAAGGTAAGTGTATTATTTTTTTGAAAAAATATTACTTTACGAATTAAGTATTCTATTATTGCATATAGAATGGTTAAAAAAAGGGTAATCAAATCGAACCATCAAAGCAAACTAAAGTTAAGATAGTCGAGGCTGAAATTGAATAAAAAATGAAAATAAAAAAGTAATAATAAGTTTAAAAATTTTGATTAAAAAAATTTCAAAAGAATTATAAATGTTTGGTTCTTTAATAAATAACTCAATTTGAGAAAACATTTCTTTTTAAAAGTTTGGTTTGATTTGAAAATCTAAACTGAAATACCAAACTAATAGTTTTAATTTGATTGGTTATGAATAAACTCACATGAGTCAAATGAACTTTTACTATAATTTAATTGTTTGATTCAATTTTTTTACTTGCCCGAAGAGTTCTAATTACATGTATGAATCAATAGTAGGAAAATTTTATGAAAGAAAAATATAGAAAGAAAGAGATTCATATGGTTACCCCATAGGAGGTGTTTGGCCAAGTCCATTATCAATCATAATTCTTCTGTGTTGCTCTCTAAAGATGATTACTTCTTCTGTTTTGTTCAATAACAAACTTGCATACGAAGAATTTGCAATATTCAACAGCATAAGGAAACACAAAACAAGACTTTTCATCATGGAAAACTTGAAGCTCCAACCTAAGCATGAATATTGAAGTTTCTTATACATAGCACTATACTATATAGTATAAATAGATACAAGTGTCTATTGATATGTGTGTCAAAGAAAGAAAGCAAAAACATAGATAACAATAATGTCAAGTGATGGATGGACCAATGTTGAAAGAGTGTGTTGTAATTTATAGAGTAATAAGTGAGTTGGCTTGATTTGGTGAATCTTAATGGACAAGGTTGTTTGCTCCACGGGTGTAATAATGTATTTTACTAATACATTACTTTATTACTTTATACTATTATTTAATCAAGTACATGTACCCAAAAGTTTCACACCAAAAAAATTGATAAAACAGTACTAGTAATTTGATTTATTAAAAAGTACATGAATTGAATATACTTTACCCGATAGTTATTATGAACAATTTTTTTAATTTTATTAAATAATTAATGTATCTTTATAAATATAAGATATATTAGTTATTTAACAATTTTTTTAAATAATTAATAATATTGATCAGTGAAAATATAAATAAAAATAGATTTAATAGATTTATTGATTAGTCGTGTATTTGACAGATTTAAATATATAGCGACACATTAAGAAATTGTTGTTAGAGATAAGTATGTATTCAAGGTTGAGTTATGGTGGTTGTTATGCATGCCCCTCAGTACCGGCATTGCATGTGTGCAATTGGACATGAGATGCACTTATTGACCCTTATTTTTTGATGATGCAACAATGTTTTTGTGGGATGAGCATTTGACATTTAAAAATGATATATTAACAAACAATGGACAACAACATGGTGAATTACAAACATGAGTTTTGAATGGAAGTGAAGTTTTTCAGAATCTCTATCGGAGTATAAGTGAAGGTGGGAACACGATTCTGCTTCGAATAAGTACATCTTTAAGAGATCGTTTGGACATTTCGTGAGGGTTCTAGTGGATCTGGAAATGTCTAACGAGTTGAGATATAAAGTATTGATTGAGCGAAAGGGATTTTCTTTTTTTTTGAAACTTGAATACAAAAACATACCGGAATATTGTTCAAATTGCAACATTATTGGGCATGGTTTTGATACCTGCAAGTGGAGAAATGTAGGTGTTGGAACAGAAAGAGACAACATGATCATAAGCAAGAAATAAGAAAGACTTTGCTTCTCCCCTGTAATTTCTTTTGTTGTAAAAACACCATTGTTACTTGAAGATTTCGTTCATTTAAACTTTTTGGTGAGAAGATTCACCCAAGGATCTTATGTGGTATGTTGGGTGGCAAATTTATTTTTACTTTCAATTATCTTTAATTACATCTTTAATTACACGTGTAATCAGGAATGTCATGTAATAAATGAAAAACATTTTGATTTTAAAAAGAGACAATTGCAAAATCCCTTTTCGTCCTCCACATTTTGCCCTAACAGAGAAACTCCATTGAAGACAAACATTGATGTGCTGGAGAAGACAATGGTTTCAAAATCAAGAAAGGAAGCTCTCTTCATTGGTCTCATAGCTACATTCATCAAAGAATAATAATCTAAGGTAAGTTTATTCCATCACATGTTTTCATTTTTGCTCCATCCGTTCAACTCTGATGGACATTTTTTTCTGAAATAGAGTATGTTCAATGTTGTTTTCCATAATGGGGAGATTTTTAGAGAGAATAAATTATTTTATATGGGTGAGGTTCAAACCATTGTATATGAGAAAAATATCAGAAAATGAGGTGTTTATGAGGTGTTGAAATTAGTTCTTAATTGGGGTTATGAAAGAAACAAGTTTAGGGTATGTGGCAAATTTGAAGGTATAGATGATTCTTTTTCAAAATTAACAAGGATGATCGTGCTGGTGAAGTTGCTTGATATGTTACTAGAAACAATATTGAAGGGCATTTATATGTTGAGCGTAATGCGAAGAACACCAACATCAAGGTTGTTGAGCCTCAATGCATCGATCTAATTGAAGGGAATGACGGAGAAGCAGAAGCATATGAAAGTGATAATGATGCAAGAAAGGTTGATGACACAGAAGATGAGAGAACTACTGCAACATATGATGGTTTTGAAGTCATTGAATTTAATAGGTCAAAATTTGGTACTAATAAAGTTGAAGTTGATGGAAAGTCATATAGATTTAAGGTTTGTGCCTCTAAGTTACCCAACAAGAAATGAACTTCAAAGAAGAAGAAGTTTAAAGTTATTGCACCTGCAAGGATAGACAAAGCTCATAAAAAAGTATTCTCAAATAATGGATGATGGAGAAGATCAATATGAGAGTGATGAATTGGATAACTCAGATTCAGATGATCCTGAAGATGAAAAACTTCTAAAGTATGAAAAATTTAGGAAGGAGCGGTTAGGTAAGGACTATGAGTTTAAGTTGGGTATAAAATTTAATTCCTTAAGTGATTTTAATCATGCAATAATAGAGTAGCGGGTATTAAATGGAAGGGAAATTACATTTGTGAAGAATGAAAGTAACAGGTCAAGGATAAAATGAAAGAGTAAATGTCGATTTTTGGCTCTATGCTCTAAAGTAGGTGGAAGTCTCATTTTTCAGATAAAAGCTTGAGTGGGCACCCAGACTTGTGATAGGATTTTGAACAACAGAACTGCAAAGTCTCGGTGGGTTATAAAGGATGTGGTTAATAATATGCAAACATCTAAAAAGGTCTGAACTGCTGACATCATTCAAGACATGAGGAAGACTTATTCAGTTGGCACTACACCAAGTATGGCATGGAAGGCCAAGGGAATAACAAATGGAATTTTTGAAGGAGATGCAACTATACCATATGCATTAATATGGAGGTATCCAACTAAGTTAAAAAACGTATGTGATAGGAATACTGTCTAATCCTTCAATAAGAAAAGAAAACAACACATATTTTTGTATTTTGAATAAGATTAGCAAAGTTAAAATATAAACAAGCATAAAGACAAAAAGAAACACAAAAGATGTTTGGTAGTCTCCCACAAAAGCTAAACCCAAAGAGGCAAAGGTTAAGAGGATACCATACTTGTGATCTTGATGAGATGCAAAATAAGATGATAGGTGGAATCTTAGGGGTAACAATTATGGTATGACATTTTCCAACTTACAACACATCATTTAAGTAAAACTCATAACTATATTATGATATAAAGTCATATTTATCCGTCTCAAAGCTAGCATTGGTGTATCAAATTACAATGAGCTCTTCTTGGCTTCCATATATCAAGAATGAGTCCTTAGCTTCTCTAGTACTTAAGGATATTCTTGACAACAATTCAATGAGAATCACCGAGATCATACTGAAACCTACTTATTGCATTTAAAGCATGTGAGACATATGTTCGAGTACATAACATTGCGTACATGATAGATCCTTTTTAGATGCATATGAAATCTTATTTATGTGATCCCTTTATTCCTTGGTTTAAGGGGTTTTTTGTATAGACACAAGCCATGTTTCATATGTATGAATCCTTTCTTACATGAATCTTAAAGTGTCTTAGTACTTTGTCTATGTATATACTCTAACCTAGGTTTGACAGTTTTTGTGATCTATCTTTATAGATTATAATTCCTAATATATAGGCTGTTTCACTCAAGTCTTTCATAGCAAATCATTTCCTTAGCTACGTTTTCACTTGTTGCAAAGTAAGAACATTATTTACAATGAGTAATATGCCATCTACATATAATATTAATATAACTATCATGATCCCAATAACCTTCTTGTAAGGCACAAGGCTTATATTTATTTTTAAGGAATCCATATTGTTTTACAATTTCATTAAACTGGAGATTCTAGCTTCTAAAAGGCTTATTTTAATTCATTGATCAATCACTATAACTTGCATATATTTTTTTATTCTTCTGGTAAATCAAATCCTTTAGGTTGTGTCATGTACACATTGTTAGACGACAACAGCGTATCTAGTGGGTGGAAGTCCAAAGAAGAAACACACGTTGGGCCCAATCCACCCAAGGTCCAAGGGGTGTAACTACCATTACACATCACCTAACCCTAGTGTAAGGACCGTTACACCATGCCAAGCAAACCCTTCCCCAAAAGCAGGGGGTGTAACGACCGTTACACCTTGCCAAGCCAACCCTTCCACAAAAGAAGGAGTGTAACGACCGTTACACTGAGGCAAATCCGGAGGAGAAAATATTTCAACTCTCTGTGCATCTCCAAGCCTATAATAGGACCTCAAATTCCCATTTTTAAACACGCTTTCTTTTCTCTATTTTTACTGTTACTCTGCCAAATATTTTCCGCATTATTTCCTTTACCGATCTGTGGGAGACATCTGATATCAGCCAAATATTCAGCCATAATATTTTCAGGTTTAATTTAAAGTACTTTATTTATTTATGCCAGGATTGTCTAAAATGTTTAGTTTATTTAAATTGTTAGATGGTAATTATTTTTGTTGCATTGTTATTGAATTGTTTAACATGCTAGGCTAAATTTATTTATCGGTATATAAGGTCATATAGCCAACAGGGTTTTAGTAACGCCAATTGATCAGTTCCTTTTAAAAAGAATAATTTTCTGGTTTCAATTATTAGTTCTAAATACTAACTGTTTTGTTACGAGAGTAAAATACAGATAGAAGTTAGGATCAATAAAACGACAGTTTAAGATAATAACTGGACAGTGGTAATTGTGCATCAACTTAAAATACAGCGAGAGCACTTTTAAGTTGATTAGGTTTTGTTTGTTTCCAAAAACTATTTTTAAACTCTAATTGAAACAGCGAGAGCACTCACTTAGGTTTAATCGTAGGATCTGAATCAATAAACACGAGAGTGTGAGAAGAGGGGTTTCAAACAAATACTTCCTACTGAAAATTATTTTGTTAATCCGAGTTAGGTCAATGAGTTGCTAAATCCTCGAAGTCCGACCATTACATACCAATATTCTCCCTTGAATCTAAACTAGATTATAATCAGTTAGGTTCCCTAAACCCCTATTAATTACATTATTAGCCTTAGATTTACGTAGTAACCTAAGATAACGGTAGTTCGACATTTAGTCCCTTGGGATTCAATAATCTTTAA